GACAACTTAAAATAGCTAAGGTTGAGAAACATTGGTCTAGCACAAATTCCTCTCTCTCTCTCTCTCTTGCCTTTATTTAATTAAACAGAACAGGGAGGGGAAATAAAACACAAGACAACCAAAGAAATTAAATATTTGAAGGCTTCTCCTACACCCATATAAAGTTTTACACCCGTTTCAAAATAGGATGAATGTATCTCGTTACTGTATAATCATCCGTGCATCATCTCTGTCTGTAAGGGACTCAACATCTAGTCTCCACGGAGTCATGGGGGCTAGAAGTGCTGTGGCTAAAGAGAAGCTTTGAGGACAAACCTTCAATATTTGGGGCGGGTTTAACCCTTCACTGCCTGTTCTCTTGTCCTACCAGGCGACAGCCCAGCTGAAAGTAGTACTAAAGCAACCTGCAGCTCTTTCCCATCTGTGCCATGTGATGACACATTCACAGGATCCTCAGGTAAATCCCAACAAGGCTTAGCTCTGCCAGGTGAGAGGCACTGGAGCTTAAAGTGTCCCTTTGCTCTGCTTAGTTTTAAATGTAGGGAGTTGCAAACAGTGAGAAGGGGAACAGCACTCTTTGTATGCTCTGAGGCAGTGTTTCTCAGACTTGGCAACTTTAAGACATGTGGACTTTAACTCCCAGAATTCCTCTACCAGCATGGCTGGCTAGGGAATTCTGGGAGTTGAAGTCCACCCGTCTTAAAGTTCCCAAGTCTGAGCAACACTGCTTTAAGGTGTTCCCTTCTGCTTTGCATCCTCCTGCCAAACCACAGGGGCATGTTCTGTGCCTTTTGAGGCAAAAATGGTACCCCCCTTACTTTTTCTGTGGACCCAACTGAGAGTTTAGATTCATGAAGAAAGAAAATGTTTCTGCTGCTCTTTTAAAAATGTAATCGTTTATTGAAATAATGTTCTCTCTTGTGCTTGTTTGAGTGCTTCCTTTCCTACATTCAGTTTTGTGCAGTGCCTCAGTTCCTCGTTGCCAAACCCACCATTCCTGTTTCTCAGATCTGCTGTTTTGGTCCTTCCATCGCAGCCTCACGTTTCTCTCTCTCCCTCATCTCCTCCTTTCTCAGATCCAGCAGTTTGCTGCCGTGTTGCTGAGAAGGCGGCTGACCAAACATTGGAAGAAAATTAGCGCAGAGGAGCAAGATATGTAAGTGCAGGGCTGGAAGACGAATCTAGCACTCCATTTTGTTTGGTCTAGATCAGCGTTTCTTAAAGTGTGGTGCGAGGCCCCCTGGGGGTCTGTGAAATCAAAATTATTTGCTTGATATTAAAGATATTTGCAAAAATTTAAAATAATGTCACGGTTCTCATTATCTTTTTATTTGTTAAAAGAATAGAAGGTTTTTCATGAAAAAATATTTTAATATCTAATGGGTCTAATATTGTTATTTTTACATGACTCAATAAATAAATATTCTACAAATGCATCCATTTTAATTTTTAATGCAGCAAATATCAATAAATATAACCCAGGAAAATAAAAGGTATTTTGGGGTCCTCCATAATTTCTAAAAGTGGGAAGGGGTCCTGAGCGCAATAAGAAACAAAGATGGAGAAATAATCACTTTTTAAGAAAACATCAACGATGTGGCTCACTTGCTAAGCTAGGACTGTATTTTAATTCCAGAACTAAAATCCGTCCCAAATCCTGTCTTTTTCAGGCTCAAGACATTGGTGCTAAACAGCTTGCAACAGCAGACAGAGTGAGTATTCCTGCTGGGGAGGAGTTATGGGTTAGTGGTAGGGACTGTCTCCTTCACACACAAAGGCCCTATAAATTCAGAATCGAAGGAGAAGGTTTGATCTAATTGGGTGGGGGGTGTCTTTGAGCCTCTCCCCAAAGACCAAAGTCTAACACTGTTAGTTTTGAATCTTAATACACACCTGTCCATTGAGTTGGAGGAAGCAATTAGGGGTTTTGTTTAGGATGTGTAGTTCAGGCCAGAGAAATGGGGATGGGAGAGGAGTCATGGTTTGAACTGGGGTCTCAGGTTCTCATCTCCCTCCCCACCATTCAAAAAAATGTCATCTTTTCCAGCCATAAAGTTTCCCTGAGCTTAGCCCAGCTGGCTGCGGTCATTCTGAAGAACGAGACGTTGGAGAAGTGGCCACAGATGCTTCAGATCATTCAACATGGAGCCCGTTCCCGAGACCCCAACAAGTGCCAGGTGGGTCAGCACTCTGCAGGTTCTGCAAGCAGGGGATGGGAGCATCTCAGGTCCCCTTTCGAACCCCCCATCACTCTTGCACCTCCTTGTGGGCACAGATGGCGTTGCTACTGCTGCAGTCTGCTGTGGAGCTGGACCCGGACCTCTTCTGCCCCTACTACAAGGACCTCCTGCGCCTCTTCCATCAGACGCTCAACAACCGGGGTCAGGCGGCCATCCTCTACTACTCTCTGCGGAGTCTGAGTGCTGTGGTTGGCGGGCTGAGCTCTGACGAAGTGGTGGGTGAACACTCGTATTCCCTCTTTCATCCCATCTCTCTGGTTTTCCTCACCATAGTATTGAGACCAAGGTCTTCAAAGGATGTTGCTGGTAGGATGCTTCTTCCAAGGGGGTGGGGAACTTTGTGCAACCAGACCCAGGGGAACCTGGGGCCCTCCCAGTGCTCCTGGACCCCCAGCATCCCCCTCCACTGACCAGGTTGGCAGCGGCTGCTGGTCTGGAGAGCCACAGGATCTTCACTTCTGGGCTACGTAATGCTCTTTGTCTGGGAGAAAGGTCTTTTTTTAGGACTGGAACTCTGGGGAACAGATGTTTGCTGATTGATGATATGCTTTAATTTATTGGTTGGTAAAATGATGCGGTTAAGATCAAGATGCCTTTGAGTCAAGCTCAACTCTTGAAGATTTAATGGGCACATCCGCGGCTGGCTGGGGAATTCTGGGAGTTGAAGTCCACAGTGGCTAAGGTTGAGAAACAATGCGCTACGTGATGGCTTTCATTTTTCAGTGTAATCCGTACTGTGGTTTCTTCTGGCTCTCTTTTGATACCTGCTTCTCTTCTGCATCTCCCAGAACCTGATGTCTTCCATGGTGCCCAAAGTGATAGCAGCCATCCGAGAACTCATTCACGTTAACGAGGTGCGGACTCTGTGTGCGTGTGCGTGTAAATGCTTGCTCTTGGGGACCAGCAGGTACAATCTATTCAAGTCAACCAATTGCACTGTGCATGTCTTTGTCTGTATCGTGTTGAGCTCTGATATTCATAGAATATCAGTGTGTGGCACCCAGCTTCACCTAAGAGTGTTTCTCAACCTCAGTCACTAAGATGTGTGGGCTTCAGCTCCCAGAATTCCTCAGCCAGCCGTGCATTGACAAAATCACCCTCAGTCAATTGCAAAAGGCAGCTTTACTTGGAACAGCTTCCATCCTGCGATGATACCTTTAATATTATTAAACAATCTCTGCCTGTCCCAGGACTCAATAGGTGGATAAAAATGCCAAATCCAGTCTAAACATCTGGCTGACTGTGCGACCAACAA